GGAATGTCCTTTAATACCATTTTTGGATCGTTAAAAAAAGTTTATTTGAAAGTGAGAGTTACAAAGACACACACATACACAGACTGAAGAGAAAAACAAAGAGTAAAAGGGAGAAAGAGGGAGAGAGAGAGCACTCTTTCATCTGCTGGTTCACTCTGAAGATGGTTGCAGAGGCGAGGCTTGGGAAAGGTCAAAGCCAGCAGATGCAGATGAGCCCATGATTCAGGTCCCACATCTGAGTGGCAGGAACCCATTTATTTGGGTCATCTCCTGCTTCTCCCAGGCCATTAGTAGGGAACAGGATTGGAAGTGAAGCAGCCAAGACGCCTCAATTGATTTGTTTCGCCTGCGCATTTAAGAATCTTTTCTTTATGTTCGATTGAAGACAGCTTGGTTATCAGGTGTTGTGGTGAAGATGACTTTTGGTCAACACTAATGGGAGTTCTGTGCCCCTCCTGTATTCTTAATCTATTTTCATTTATTATTTCATTGTAAAGATGTTTTAAATATTTTATTAGTATTTATTTTTATTGGAAAGGCAGATATACAGAGAGAAGGAAAGATAGAGAGGAAGATCTTCCATCCAATGTTTCACTCCCCAAGTGGTTGCAGTGACCAGAGCTGAGTCAATCCGAAGCTAGGAGCCTGAATCTTCTTCCAGGTCTCCCACATGGGTGCAGGATCCCAAGACTTTGGGCCATCTTCAACTGTTTTCCCAGGTCACAAGCAGGGAGCTGGATGGGAATTGGGGCCGCTGGGGCTAAAATGAGCTCCGATATGGGATCCCGGGTGTGCAAGGTGAGCGCTTTAGCCACCTGGCTACCACACTGGGCCCGCCACTGGATTTTCAATTTGCTCCATTGTGGCTTCATTTCTAATAATACTTCATGATTTTGTTTTTTTATAGTGTTGCTGTTTCTTGCGTGACATATGCCTTGAATTCCTTCATGTCCTTGTTGTTGATAAGAAGCTTTATAATGAGTTTTTTAAAAATTCTTTATCCCTGATTTTGATGTATTCCTCAGTTAATTCGGAGATTGGCAAAGGCTTTCCACTCCTTCGTAGAGTGATCTTCAATAATATGTATTGTGCCTTTATCTCTTTTTTTTTTTTACTGCCTCCTTAGGGCAGGTTTCTAAGCTGTGTCAATCACAGGTCTATAGTTCAATTTTACTTATTGCATTTGGTACCCAGTTCTTTGTTTGCAGTCACTTGTGCCACTCCTTCAGTGAGTGTTGGATCTTAGCTCTTGTGTTAGGCTTCCACTCTGGTCTCTATAGCCCCAGCTCCTTGATCACCACTCTCAACTTCCTGTGATTCTGTGCTATGGCTGTACTGTTGTTTGTACATGTCTCTTCCTGTTTGAGCAGTTTTCAGGGATAGGGAGACACCAGGTGTCCTAAATAGTTAGGCTGTTAGTGGTGCTGATCTTGCTGGAACTTGCTGGCCTTTGCTTTGAGGGCCACCTGGACCTATTTTGACCCATAGGATGCCAAATTCAATATTATTTTTGATGTGGGATCAGTGCAGTGCACTGAGCTGGAAGTGAGGTAGCTCCCAGCTCAGCGCATGTACAGCTCACTGCTGTCCCTCCGGTCCCACAGCCTTTGCCCCACTGTACTAGATGGTACCTGATATGCCACTCCTGCAGTTCTTCATCTGCTGGCCATTAGATCTTTGGGCTACCTGGACCCATTTTGGGTGGAACCTGTAAGATGCTACCTTGGTGCAATGCACACTGAACCCCAAATGATTTTGCTCCCATCTTATTGCATGCATAGTCCCATCCCACAGCCTTTGCCTCTGTACACAAAATAGTGTCAGGTATTGCTTTAGTGTGGTTTGGGGCTGTTAAATCTAACCTGTTGCACAGCCTGTTTGGGGTCTGTTGCTCTGTCTCTGCTCCTGGCCAAATCAAACAGATCAGCAGGACAGGCAGTTTTTTTGCCTGGATTCACCTCCTGAGCTCTTGGTGAACGCCCCTTCCCACCTGGCTGCTGCTGGACCTCCAGCCACTGAGCTCAGATCACTGCTCACCGACTGCCACTGAGGTATCTGGTCACTGCAACAACACACTGTTGTCTTTGCTGCTTTCCTGTGTCTGTCAGTCTCCAGGGCCCTTTTGCTGACAGCTTGTCCTCTCCTATATCCTGGAATGTGCCCTCTCTACTTTACATTGGCTGATGATTCTCTGATTCTCTGTCTGTTTAAACATGTCCTTATTCTATTCTGTAACTTTGATTCTGCATAAATTGTATTTAAATATCATGATTCAGGCCTGGCATGGTGGCCTAATGGCTAAGGTCCTCACCTTGAACCCGCTGAGATCCCATATGGGTACCAGTTCTAATCCCAGTGGTCTTGGTTCCCATCTAGCTCTCTGCTTGTGGCCTGGGAAGGCAGTTGAGGATGGCCTGGAGCCTAGGGAGCCTGCACCCATGTAGAAACCTCCTGGCTCCTGGCTTCGGATCAGCTCAGCTCCAGCCATTGTGGTCACGTGGGGGTTGGATCATCAAGCAAACGGTCTTCCTTTCTGTCTCTCCTCCTCCCTGTATATCTGACTTTGCAATTTAAATAAATAAACAAATCTAAAAAAAAATTATGATTCTCTGCAAGGAACTTGAGTGTCTGGGGATTTTGATATTTGCGAGGATCCCAGGGATACCAAGGGACTACTGTCTTCTTTGTTATCTCTCTATACTTTTTTTTTCCCCAGTGAGCACATGTAAGGAAAAAAATTTAAATTTTATGATCTGACATGTCTGATCCTGTTCTGTTCACTCCATTGCTTGGATTTTTGCTGGGTCTGGATTTGTGGACTTAAACAAAACTTTCAGAATTTTGAAGTCATAGAACCAAGGAAGTGAAGGATAATATGTATGAGAGTCACCAAAAGTTTGTAGACGAATAGAATTACAAGTTCCATTTATTTTGCTGAAACAAACATTGTAATATGTATATGGTTTTCTCATAATACGCGTATCTATGACTTACTGGAGCCCTCTCATATTTTCACAATACGTGCAATCCACATGATACTCCTGGTAGCCCTGGAGCAGTCCTGTTTCCCTTGTGCCTATATTTTGAATTAGGTTCTCTCAAGCGTGGAGGTCCTGCCATTTAACTGCTCCCTAAATGTCTGAGCGCAGTCTTTGTGACCCATTTACAGAGGTTTGTGCTGCAAGCACAGCTGGTACACATCATTGCATTGGTTTTCAGAAACTGCCCTTAGCCAGTCACTCCCAAAGTGCAACTTTGAGTCTCTTGGGTTTGACAGGTTAGTTATCACCACGAAGTCACTCCCTCCATGAGTTATTCCGCACCTGTTGTGTTCTTTCTATGACTGTTGGTAGAAACACATTTTTATTCATTCCTCTGTTGTCACTAGTGTGGTTTTTGAAGGAGTGGAAGTAATTTATGTATTTAACCTTCCATAATGTGTTAAATGGAAACTCAGTATAACTTTGTGTCCTTAAATGAGTTGTTAGAAAATGTTCAAGAGTAATGCACTGAATACGTTGTACCTTCACACGAATTAATAAAAAGTTGCCATGTATGCGTGTCACAACCACATATGTGTGTATACCTATCGGCCTACATACATGTGGACATGGAACATACACACACATACACAAGCAAAATAAGCATACACATATATGTTGTCTCTCCTGTTCAGTCCCTCCATTTTTCAGAGTAAGGTGTTTGAAACTACGTGGCAGACAAAAACACTTCATCCACACCTTTTTTCAGGTTTGCCGAAAAGGATTCTTTCAATTCTGCAGGATACTGTTCTCACTCTGTTTGCTTGATATTGATATAGTGTTACATCAAATGTGGTCACTATTCAGATTTTCTCAATTATCCCAATAAAGTTCAGTTTTTTTCTTCTAATCTAGGAGGCGATCAGAGATCCAGCAGGGCACTACCGTTGTCATGGATTTTAACAGGAACTCACACTCTTCTTGGTGGGGCTTGTCACATTGACATTTTTAGTGAGTTCAGGACAACATTTTTGCAAAATGTGCTACAATGTGGATTTCTTTATCATTTGTGACAAGAGTTAACTATTGACAAGAATACCATGTAGCTGATTCTATGTGACTACATATAAGTAGAATTTTACTACCACTCTCATAGGAGAGAAGTGTTATTTTATTTGTATATATCAAACTATAGCAAAGTACATAAGCATATCATTTATGGTTGTGCTTGTCTCAAATTGTAGAAAAAGACACTTAAAGAGACTTGCTGGAGGCTAATGTTTGGATGCACTGAAAAATCTGCATATGTCCACTATTTCCATTTGGTGATAAAAAAACTGAAGCTCACTCTTTCTCATTTCATGATGTAAGAATTGGGAGTAAATGAAATTTTATTATCTCACCCAGCCCTCAAATTTTGTTAATCAATGTGGAAGACATAACTTATAATTTTATTGGCAAAATGAATATGAATAGCAGTAAAATCACAAATAACGTATCATTAAAATATTTGTTTTACTTAAATTGACAATGAGCATGTGTTTATAGTTCTTTGTTTCCAGTTTTACATTTTTTGTCACAGACTGTTGTACGATTTTGTACCAATAACAAATAATACAGATTTTAATCACCTTATCCTACTTGCATATAACTGTACTGTACATATTTTTGTACTACAGAACTAAGATCAAGGCTTAAAAATCTATGGTATAGAACAGGTTTTATTTTAGGTTACTTGAAAGTAAGTAAAAGAAATATTTTTATATTGAAAATAAGAAAATACTGTTAATTTTATACACAATTATTCTGGTTAGGGTTAGCTGGTATATATGTGTTTATTTTTCATTTAATTTCTTGAATTACATAACTTTAAGGATACTAGTAGAGATAATTTTTTTTTATTCTGAATCTGTTTCATTGAGTGAGAGTATGTCTTCACATGCTTATCAGACTCATGAATACAATTCAAGCAAATAAAATGTAGTGTAAGTGATAATATTTTATGTGTTTTTCCTACAGGAAGCTCTGATAATGGCGAGCATGGATCATCCACACCTAGTCCGTTTATTAGGTGTGTGTCTGAGCCCAACGATTCAGTTGGTTACCCAGCTTATGCCCCATGGCTGCCTTTTGGATTATGTCCATGAACACAAGGATAACATTGGTTCACAACTGCTGCTTAACTGGTGTGTCCAGATAGCTAAGGTAAGTGCTGCCGTTTCCTGCAGAAGTGGAATTCTTCGGCTTATTTTAATCTAGAATAGTTTGGATTCAGATGGAATGTTATCTTTCAGTCTGCTTAAATAAAATAAGTGCTATTTGTTTTTATTGAAAGATATGGTTTATTGAAAGATACGGTTACACGAAAACCATAGATTGCTATGCAATCATCCTTTGGTTTCCGTTAGAGGTTACCATGGGAATTCCAGATGATTTTGTCTCTTACATATAGTGCAGTAATCTCCGCCTTTGCATATAGCCTGTGTCCATGTGACCTCTGCACTTTAATCGTCTCCAAATTGTTTATGATATAGAATATATGTAAGTGCTCTATAAATATTGCTTGCTTATATTTTTTAGGGAAAAAATTATAAGAAATGGATCTGTGCAAGTCAATAAAGATACATATTACTTAAAGCATTTTTAGTCCACATTTGGTTGACTCCACCCAGGAGTACCTGGTAGATAGAGAAGGTGGTTGAACTTACCGATTTTTGGATTACTATGCTTTGCTTATGTTCACAAGAGGCCAAAAACGATAGCTTGTTAGTCAGAGGAACAAATGCCTATATTGGATTTGTTTGCCTTTCTGAAGTTCCTTTTGGTTGGTTTAATATGGTAAGAAACAAAGCCAGTAAAGAAAAGTTGAATTCCTTAATTGTTGCAATTTTTAGATGATTTTGTTACAATACCCTGTGTGTTAACATTTGCTATTGCAAATGCTTGTCAAGTTTCCACTGATCCCTAATGATTTGGCTTTGGTATGATGTGAGAGGGCAGGCATGTAACACTCATGAGGTAAGTGGTACGGCAAAAGGGCAGGTGGCTCTCCAGTGCAACGGAAGGCATCTCATCTCTTTCTAGGCACTGTGGTTGGTTGCATATTATCTGAATTTGCCATTTTTCAAAAGGGACAGAATTATGGATATTTCATATGGATTCTCCCAACTGAAATCTTAGCTCAAATCTTTGAGCCACTCATGTGCTAAGCAAAGTACTCACGTTTCATAGTCCATTAGTGCACAACATCTGAAAAGACCGTGTTCAAGCATGTCATTATGATCATGTGTCTCCAGTACATTTCTTGAAACTTTTCTCCTCACAGAAAAATAGGATTGCAGTAAGTCTTAATTTATTATATCAACAGTTACATTCCGTGCATTCTATTGACATTTTCATCTTTGTATTTGTGTAATATAAGTTCCAAATGTTGACTTGGTCATTTTGGTCTATTTCTTTTTATAACATAATGATTAACAGTACATTTAGACAAGTAGAAATTTTATATATCACTCTTAAAATGTAAGGCCAAGAATTATTTAAGGGAAAATCTCAGTGTCATTCTACATATTATAAGTCTCAATTTGCAATTTGGTTTCCTTGTGGATCATGTATTTTGATTTTTGTGAATATTGTGTGATAAACTTGTTATTGTGATTATTCTTTATAAATATTAAATTTGAGATGTAACTCTCCAAAAGCTGATTTATCTTGAGAATTTCTATGATTTATGAAATGAGCTAAATAGGCAATAAAAAAATTCAAGTTATCCTAGTACTGAAACAAAATAAATATTCTGTGTTTTCTTCACAATTAGGTTTTTCTATCATATATATATGTAATTTATATAGTACTCTGTGAGCTAATTATAGAAACCACTTTGAGTTTTCTAAATGATTACCTTGCTTTATACTTTTTTGCCTTTGAAAATATTATCCTCTCTACTTAGAAGTCTTTTCCCACAGCTTTTTATTGCAGAGACTATTTATTTATTTATTTATTTGAGAGGCAGAAAGCAGAGTGAGAGAGAGACAGCACTGATCTGCTTGTTCGTTCCACAGCTGTGCCTGGACAGCCTCATACTGGCATCTGGGAACTTAATCTCCGTCTCCCAGTTGAGTGGCAGGAACCCAACTAATTGAGTTATTACTGTGGCCCTAACAGAAAGCTGGAGTCAAGAGCCAGAACTAAGGATGGAACCCTAGATGTATGGTATGGTTTGCTGGTATTCTAACAGGAATTTTAAGCACCGAGTCAAATGCCTGCTCCTGAGAGTTTTTTGAGTCACACACCTGACCTTTTTATCTGTTCACACTAACTGGACTTTTTTTCCTCTAAGGAGCCTTCCCCAGTCAACATTCCTCCTCAAGCAGAAGTCAGCACTTATACTTCTGTATTCATTTTTGTCATTAACATTTGGAACACACTTTATTATTTAGACTTACATGACAAACTTACTTGTATTGATTATGTAAGACATTATTTAGTCATTAATTCTTCAACAGATGTGTATGTATCCCTATCATTTGCCAGATGCTATGCTCACTGTGGACGTAGACAAGGAATGAACATTCTCATAAGCCCAGTTCTCCCTTGGTACTTTCAAGTATGGGATAACCCTAGCAAGTAAAATCTAAGTGTAGGATGAAAAATTCTGGTTTGGAATTTGAAAAAACAAATTATAGTGCAGAACTGAAAAGAGAGGCCTCTGAATTCCACGAGTGAAGACTTTGGCCAGGGAAATGTTAGGCAAAGGGTGAGTCACAGAGGAGCACCTCGGTATGGTGACTATGGGACGTATTGTTCAGATGGGACACTTTCAGCAGTTGTGCCAGAGATGTCCTAACAGAACAAGGTTTATGGTAACTCAGTTTAGCACAAAAAGTTTGGATTCGATCAAAAGAGCATTATTAATTTGTTAAGGGGCTGACATTGTGGTTTAATGGGTAAAGCTGCCAGCATCCAAAATGGGCACTGCTTAGAGGCCACCAGTCTGCTCCACTTTCAATCCAGTTCCCTGCTAATGTGCCATTTCAGGAATGAACCAGCAGATGAAAAATCTCTCCATTCTCACCTATAGCTTGACCTTTCAAATAAATAAACAAACCTTTAATAGGAAAGAAATTATTAAAATATTTTAACTTAGAATTGACATTATAAATTTTATGATGAAAACAGACCATATCAGTTTCATATGAGGATCAAGAAGCAGAAACAGTTTCAAGATGGAAACAAAGACTAATAAAGAGTCCTAGAGCAACACAAACATCAAGCACGTGGAATAAAAAAGGAGACGGGGACAGAAGTGGGCTTGAATGTGTCTTGAAGAAGGAGGGATGTGTCATAAGCCAACGAGTTCAGGCTGCCAAAAACTACAAGAGGCAGGAAACCTAGTGATTCTTCTGAAAAACATGAGAGGGAATACAGACCGCCCCCTTCCTAAACTTAAATGCCCCAAAATAGTGAATGTGCATTACTTTAGACTACTAGATTTTAGTAATTAGTTAGAGCAACAGAAAACTAATATCTTGGCCATAGTGACTTGTAAAGATTAAGTAAAATAGAGTGTGTAAGCTTTGTGGCTCAACTAGTAAAACACAGTGGGAAAGAAGGGTCTGCTTTTATTAACTATAGTTTTCAAGGCAATAAAACAGAAATGATCTAAGAGGTGTCTATACAGTGTCAGGAATATGGTGGAAGGCAAGTGTTTTCACAAACAGCTATTTCAGTGACAGAACTTTCCTTTTCTTTCAGTTCTCACTAAGGAAGGCTTGTGCGAGTGTGTGAAATACCATCAGAATGGCTGTAGTACTCACTTGTATTTGCTTGCAGCCCTTTTTGTTTGTTCATTTACGAAGGTGGCAGTAGAAAGAAAGAATTATCACATATGATAATTAAAATGTGTTTTGTTATACCTATGAAAATGTTAACAGGTTGCACAATGTATAAGAATTACATGTAACTATTGAGCACTTATTCCATGCAAATGGCTATTCTTGTAATTTATGGATTATTTATCTTATTACAAATCTTTGAGGTAGATATCATTATTTAATCCATCTGACAGATAAGGAGAGCCAGACACAGAGAACTGAACTTGATTAAAATCACATAGCCAATAGAACCAACTATCACTGCTACCATTTTGTACAAAGAACTAAGTATTCTTAAACTATTTTATCCACCTCCCAACTTTATTTTCACGCTTCCACAGGTTTACTACCCCTTAAATTTTGTGTAATAGAAAATGCAAATATAAATACTAAAATCATTTGCTAATTATAGCAGCCATATTCACACTACAGCTGCTGCATTTGCAAGCTGATTTAATTTGATAAGCAGAAAGGGGCATTTTGTTACTTAATGTTCATGTGATACCATATGCCATCTTGGTACCTTGTGAATCCAAGTTAGAAAGTAAGGATAAGAAATTGTTTTCTTGTAACTGTTGCTAATGAGTTAGGCAAATGGTTTTTAGGAGTGAATTAGCAATTCTGAATGATAGGTGAACACTTGGCGTTGGGAATGTCACAGTGGGTAATGCTGGTGATGATTAAGTGGACATGGATCAAACATGTATTATCATCTCATCTCCTTGGTCTTCTATGCCTCATCTTTAATCTTTACTACAGGTATAGCAGATACAGTTCATTACAGGGATACTCCAGAAAGGAAAGTTCACAGGAAGATACAGTAGAAGTCAATCAGAAAATTCAGAATTGCCGTGGAAGTCTTTAGCATGTTCAAGGTGATATATATTGTGGGGAAAACACCTGTAGGCTTCTAAATTTCCTTCCAAAATGAATTTTTATTTAATGTAATATAATTTTTTTTGTTTACTTACTTACTTTTTAAGTAGATTTACTTACTTATTTAGGCAGAGAGAGAAGAGAAAAGGGGGAAAATGACACTTATATGTTGATGTACCTGAATTCCCTAACAGGTACCTCTGACTCCAGGACCAGATCTCTAAACTCTGCACTGATTTTCCTTCCCGTGTATATGCACATCACTGTAGCTTCAAGTGGTCTACTTTCTTTCCACATATTTCTTGATTTGAGGAGTAGAGGGAAACATGGCATTTTATCTTGTTATATCTCATCAACAGGGTCTATATATTAAAAATTGGTTTTTGTTTTGTTAAGACTTATTAATATTTGAAATTCACTGATGAAGAAGCACATGGAAGGAGGCTCACTCTCCAG